AACAATGAATAATAGGTTTAAGTCTTTGTTGGAATGATAATAATGATTTACTTTATTCCAAAAACAGTACTTGTGATACAGAATGGAATTTTCAGTATTAATCACAATATTGCATCTAATTTCCTCAAACTATAAATAAACATTAATCACACAGAAAATTTTCCACATTTACAATAGAGGTAATGTCAAAACCATGCAGCATATAAAATGGAAATAGCAATAATAATGATAACAGCTAAGGTAATAATAGAAATACAAGTGAAAATTGACGTGGGCTGGTTTCAGACAGTATTGTCGATGCGGTATAGAAATCTCAGCTTGTTTAAAAATATTGAGTATAATCTTCTCTTTGCATGATATGGTGAGGGGAAAAACAAAGATTACAGCAGTCATAGAGATCAGTTGGTGTTGCAATCATGAGAGTAGAACAAAGAAGCAACAGGACCATAAATACAATAGAAATAATAAAAGTAAAACTTGAAGGTATATAAGGATGGATGGATGGAGGAAATTGTTTACTTACTAGATGAAAAAAAGGTTAGTTAATTCTTGCCGGACACTATTTTCACGATCACATAAAATACGTGCCGAGTATGGTATCATAGAATTTCTATGCTTAGACGTGCGAGCATTCTTCAGCATTCTACTAACTGTGACATAGTCCTTTTTAAGCAAACCAGGAAAGAATAAGGATGAACAATAAAGAAGAATAGGTATGATACAAGAGTTTATGAACTGTAAGAGGAGGGGTTGATTTATACCCAAATGAATTAACTTCTTAATGTAAAATGTCCGGGGGAATATTTTACCGGAAATCGCTAAGACATGGGAAGACCAGGAGAGATGAGAAGAGGGAATAAGTTCAAGACATTTAGTTTCTGATTTCATTCCTATATCATTGTCGTCAATCTTACAACTGTCATCGGAATCGATGACTTCTTTTAAACGTCTTTTACATCTTAAGCTGAAATTAACAGTTTAACATTTGGAAGGATTCAGTTTAAGACCGTTAGACTCAGACCATTTACTGACTCTCGACAGAAAGCTATTTATTTTGGTACAATCTAGCTGGGAGTTAACAGTCATTGAAACCGTTAAATCATCAGCGTACTTCACAAAGTTTATTTCATCAGAGTGAGGCAAATCATGTAAGAAGAAAGAAAAAAGAAAAGGAGAAAGGACAGCGCCTTGAGGGACACAAGCTTCAGTAGGCAATGAAGTGGAAGACTTCCCTTTATACACGGTGTACTGATTTCCTTCTGAGAAATAGGAATGTAACCAGTTAACAGCCCAACATTCTGTTTGACTTGCAGCAAGTTTAATTAATAAGATGTCCAAATTGTGTGGATTCTGTCATCTACTCACTTGCTAAAGAACTAATTGCATCCAGATGACTACTCTCAAACAGCACGAAATCCACATCCGGTGTTCTATTCCTAATCACTTTATACCAAATCACATCATGAAATTACAACTGCCTTGTACATCAGCAAGAATAGGACATTCAATATTTGAATTTGAAAAGCCTGAATTCAAGAAATTAGCCTATATGCTTCCTTTGGCTCTTGTGTCTACATCAATACATTACCAATGATATACAATAACAGCTTTATTTGATAAAGTTCAGAAAAGTGTCTTTAGAATTATTTACTATTCGCTGTTTCTGATAAAAGGTGTAAATGACATAAGTTCAGTATATTGACCGGTGAACTCCTTCTCAAGTTTTCACACCTACCAGCAGATATTACCTCTCAACTTGTGGACTACCTGATGAAAGCTTCGCTTTACAGCGATTAAGATTCACTTTATTTGACAAATTATTCACAGTAATGTCGATACTGTTTGCTGAACTGTTGGCTTTTACACAGTATGACATTGATAGATGTGTCAAAATAACAGTAATAAATGCTTATAAAACTACCTACTTAGCTGAACTGAAATGAGTACTTAAATTAAAATTAACACTTGAATAAACGAAACGCTTAAAAATAACATTAGTTTTCAAGGTAGGTTTGTTTAATTTGGCTTCTGTCTTTTCTCTGTTTGTATTCTGTACTTTGTTCCAGTAACTACCTTCTTCTACTTCTTCAGAACCATCTGTCCAGAAATATTTCTCTGTACCATTGTTTACAATCAAATACGTTGCAGTCGTTAGGTATGAAGTAGATTTCGTCTGGTAGAAACACAAAAATCTCTATGAATAAAAGTATAATTCAACTTCGGATCAGAAACTCTTCCACTGTGCATACCTAAAATCATGAAGTTTATCTAAGAATACACGACTGTTAGACTACTGAGTGGATTGAAATTTGACAATGTGGTTTAAAGTCATCATGTCCAGCAGATAAAATGATGCATTTCTATGCCACAGTTTGTCTTAGCTGGGGTTCGATCCCAGGCCGGTGCACTCCTTCACCTCGCTAAGTCAGTAGTAAGACTGGTGAAGAGGGGAGAATGGGCATGAGGCTAGCAACCTCAATTTGTAAAAATAATCACCACTGCTACAGAAACTTCAAGCCTCTAGCTTGAAGCTCAGTGTTCCAGTGAGAATGTAAAGGAATAAAGAAATAAGGTTTAAAAGCAGAAACGAAAAGTATTCACACTCCGTATCTTTTAGTCGCCTTTATGGTGAGAAATTATTTGCGTATAGCTTGAATGACAGAATAAAAGTTTAAAATTGATCAGATGAGGTAACAGTATGACCAGCAGCTTTGTTTTCAGCACAGAAACATTTCTGCGTCACTAAAAATTGTGATAAATAAAAGGTATATTAAGTGCTTGGTTACCTTGGTTACCTTCTGATGAAGATAGAAAGAAACATGCTAAATATTGTATGGTAGGATTTTCATATTTAATAGCTGTACGAGTATAAATTCTTATGGAGGTTTTTCTCGTTTTATCAGAAGATGTACAAGGCAAAACTTGAGAATAAAAAAGATGTTCCGTGTCAGACATGATAACTTTATCCAGATATTAGCCCTTATTTCTGTTCTTACAATGAAATTGCTGCTGCAAATGTACGCAAATTTAGGAATGCAGTTAGGGGTGACATTATCAAGGTGCTTATTCACTTTAGATTGGTTTATTGAGCGTGTAATGCTGTATAGTTTTACGAACTCAGCTGAAGGGCAGCATCGTTTTTCGATCCTTTTATTCTCTTGTCAGTCTTTTGTGAAGGAGGTAAAAATGAACACTTTCGTCACTTCAAGAGTTGTTTTTCATGTTCTCGTCTTTACCTCTTGCTATACTGTAGGAGAAATCCTTTTGGATACCCATTTTTCTTTGGGTATTTCTCATCAAAACCCTCTTATTTTCAAGTGTTGGTTTGTAGGGATTTGATTGGTTTCAGGATTTCATCATGAGCTGACATCAGTTAGAGAACCATCGGAAAACCTGGGAGTACTGGACAGCTGTTTCGTCCTAGTTTGGGACTCTTCAGCAGTACGCACCCACCGGGATTCGAACCCAGGACCTTCCGGTTACAAGGCGAGCTCGTATACCATTAAGCCACTGGGACCCGATCCAATGGTCCTTGAATTCTAACTTCTGCCAATTCACGATATAGCGCGACCGCTAGCCAATGTCTTCGGCGAGTATTTGTCCTCACACCCGACCAGCTGCACCCTACTGGTCACGACTTCCCACTGGAACCCAGGGATGGTATGTTGGGTGGAAATAGCTTCCTGACTCTGTCCTATGGTATATTTACTAATTCATGCTTATAGCCCTTAGGACAAAAGCTGTTATAGTAAATATATTATCTAATCAAGATCTCTTTTCTAGAAATGAACTTTTCGGATACACCATTAATTGTTATCCTTACATTAATAACCAGGACATTGAAGTCTTCGTTATGTTTATATTACATGGTGAATTTAATGTTTGGTTAGATTTCATTGAAACAGTCATATAATAAAAATGAATTATGACCCTCATTAGTTGCTAAATAAACTTATGAGCGGACAGTGTTCATTTTCTGTGTCCTCCTTCCTCCTCCCACCTTTTCTGCTTCCAAAGCGTGTGAGTTGATTGGGACCTAAGCTAAAAGTTGCAATGTTTGCATTCTGGATATGTTGATTTCATAACATTTTTCCTACTATCATTAACTTATTGCAGCATTTTATTTCCACTCTTCAATAACCATAGTAATTCTAAGTAGTTTGCATAGCTAGCTGATGAAAACCAATAAAAAGGAATGATTTCATTCAGGTGGAGGCACTCGGCGTCAAGATTTTGACCTAGGTCTCGTGTTTGTTGGCAACCATCAGTCAGCAGAGTGTACGTACATTCTTGAAGTAACTCATGTCCTTTCTACAATTTTAACTTGCATCACCCGCTGCTTGCATTCAGAGAGGTTACCACTAAGTCATTCAAGCTCGCGACCCACCTTTTTTAGGACTGTATTGGATATATTGATTGAAAACTGATTAGTAGCTATTGTAGTATGTCTAGTCGTGCGTTTGGTGGAGACTGATTCCTGTCAGCAAACTATGGAATACTGCCACCTTGATAGGTGAGTCGACATCATGGCTTACTCTTTCAATCCACCTATCATGACGGCCGCAATGCACACTTGACGGATAAAATTCAGTTTGCACCAAACAATGAATCAGGTGCATGACACTGGTGACTAAATTAGTGTCCAGTAAAAGTATGGATTGATATCATTTCATACAGCAAAATTGGTCATTCTTTCTTTATTTAAAAGGCATATTAAACAAATTAATAAATTATCCAACTTAAAATATTTTACAACGAAATACCACACGTCAGCGTGGCGCACTTTATCACGACAAATTTACAACGGAATAAACCATGTATTAAAAGGGGTAAGTGTTTTTTTTTCTAAGCTTCATTGAAACAAAACCCAAGTAGTTAGTTGATTTTAGACCTATTGTACAAAACAAACTATGAAAATAAGACAGATTACTCAAGCAAATAGTGTTACGCTCTGATGTAAGAGTGTGACAAATATTTTACATTCACATTTCGTTTGTCTCTTTGCTGTATAATAAATGTTTTCAATAATCTGATTGGTTAAAATGTCTTCTACTCAAATAACTATGTAAATAAAAATAGCTAGTCATAAATGTACGAATATTTTCACATAATTAGAGTGATAAATTCTCAATTTCTGCAGAGAACATTACACTGACAATAGAATGGAGAAATTTGTTAACCATCTTATGGTATACTTTTGTAAGTTATATTTCTGATTTTGTTTTGTACTATTATTACTGCTGCTCTTCCGCTTTTATTAAAATGATTCCCATGACAAAGTTCCGAATGATGAGAGCTTTCAGCTGGTGATCAATTGTTAGGCCAACGAATCCCCTGAATTTGGTTAAATTTTTATTTCGTATTTGATTTTATGCTGGTAACGTATCCCCTTTTGACTTGTCGAATACCTTAACGTCAGTATTAGGATAGAAATTGGGTTTTGTAGGACTAAAGGATTTTTTGTTTTTGAGAAATGAAATAATTAGTGATTTTTATCTCACTTCAGACATCAAGCAGTGTGCCTTTTTGTTTGCAGTGCACATCAAGTGTCAGTTCTCTGTTTTCTTCCATGAGAGGAGGTGATAGTGGTGTATTTTTGTGGTTAATCATGAAGGTTATAGAAATTTTAATGTAAAAATTGTTTCTGCAGCAAAAAATCCAAATCTATTTGTCACATTAGTATTTCTGAATTTCTCACTGATTGATTTTATTCCAGCTGCATGGTTTGTTGCTGAGTAAACTAGTAGATGAAGCTTTGTATTTGAGGCAGAGTTTAGGCATAGAAATGCAAGCAAAAGAAAGCACTAATGACCTAGAAAAGACCTATCTATTTCTAAAAGAATATTCGGGTCTCTTAGTTAACTATAACCCCTATCTTTCTGTGAACCCACTCCAGTCTGACTCTGAACACTTCTAATCTTCATGTAACTTAACATCAACCTGCTCCTAACTTGTTTTCACCATAACCCTAACCCCTAAGTAACCAGATATCCTGGTTGGCATTTTATCACTCTGTTCCCAGGTTTTCTAGGAATAAAGTGTCTTTCATTTGATTTCATTAACTTGCTCCCTTGATTTGTGAATTACAGCCATTGGTGAGTTTCTGACCCCTGGATCTCCATTCTTTAAGTTGGCTGCATTCTGCACCACAGATGCTAAGTTTTGGGTACCATTTGCAGCAATGCATATGCGAAGCTGCTACCTTGACGTGGTGGTCGGGCTTGAACACCGCAATGACCTAATCAAGCTATACTGGCTGAGACTTATGTCTCTTGAGGTTCTACCATGCCAGACAGGTTGTTTGGATAGCGGTTAAACAAAAAGCAGCTACCCAATCCAATACCATGATTCAAACAAATTCACAAAATTTCATGCCGGATCGGCCGTGGCCCGGATTGACAACGACCGCGCTACCTGCTGCCGTGTCACAGGGCAGGAGTGATAAGTATGCTACTGAGGCACACCAAACAAAACAGAACAAACAAAAACAGGCCGCGTGTGACCGGCCTCAAGCAGTTGTCTCCTGGGCTCTGCGGTCACGCAACCAACTTCCACGGTGTGGGCAGCCGGGAAGTAACAAACGCCCTCACAATCCGAAATGTACACAAAACCTCTCTATTCCTCACTTATCTTTGTCTTCATCTTCATCTCTATTACCTTGCCTTCCTCCCACTGATACAACTCCTCTACTTGATGGCTCCTCACTCCCTCTTCACTCTGTGTCCACTAAAAACGACGGACGTGGCAACTCGAACTGCTGCACTTCGGTGCCAAGTTCTATGTTGAATCCAGATAGACAGACAGACAATGCATATGCAGATGATGAGTCCTGTATGAGATGAAACCCACATTCTGTATTCCACTTATAGGCGCAATCAACCAGACACAATTTCATTTTTATATATTTATTATTATTAAGGAAATAAATAGACAGGATAGTGGACATCACAATGAAATAGAATTTACACAGTGATTAAATCGTTTAACATTTTATTTTGAACAACTTACACTTTATCAATGGTTTCATACTACTACCTATTGAGTTGGATAAAGAGCTGATTTAGCGTTAGTTTTCTGTGTTAGTTAAACCATTTTGTTTGATAACTCAACAGTTATAATTTGTGACTATGGCATTTATTTTCACTATGTTTAACAACGATTAGTTCTCTCTGAACTAACATATATTCTAGTTATGATGCCTGATAATGTGGTGTAATGTATGATAGAAGTCATTCACTAAGTGTAATCACTAATTCACTTGAAAACACGTGGTGCAAATACTCTCTCAAATCATAGTAATCATATTTTAAAAGTTTAGTGGTACTGTCGGTTACGCTCATAGGATTCAAAGGTTTGAATGATTCTAGATATTCCTAATTCTATGAATTGGAAGACTCACCGTGTTTTAAGGGAGGAAAAGAGTAAATCCAAGCTGTCTCTTATCACCAACGGTCTTCTTAATTGCGGAGTGAAAAGATAAACATACAATAAACCTATGAAAAGAGCGTAGAAAATTTGAATTTTGTAGATTGTTTAGGTTTCATTTCTTAAGAAATCGAAGGCTTAAGAGGAAACCAGGTAGTTGGCAGAAGAAATACAGAAGAAATGGCTTCAGGTGGACATGGTCAAAAGAGAAATGACGAAGATACTCAACCAATGCAAAGAAATATCTATCACGATGAATGTGATAAGTCTAAAGATAGTCGTCCCTTTTGACTTTCTGAACTTTGTGGCATCATTTCAATTACAAGTGACACAGTTAAAGAAGTTTAAGTCATCCAAGGTAGGGGAAGCAAGACAAGTGTCCAATATTGTGGAATCTTTAACGTGTAGAGATCTACAGCATATAGTGATCCAAATTTCCAACAGTAATTTGAATTCGGCGTCTCTATGTAACTCAGAGATTGGGTACACGCATTGTGGAAGGCACAGATTTCTTGTGAGGTACAGTTTTTGTGTGCAAACAGTGTTCTCGTCTTTCTAGTTGGTAGTGGTCGTGTAAAGCCGGAAGACAGTGTGGAATATTGTCCGCGTGGTGCAGTTTGGCTAACGCAGCATGTGGACATTAAGTTAGTAATCGGGAATATTTTAGGGAAATTGGCTGATAAGTGTCCTGAAATTCGGAATAAACTTTGTAGTGAATACAATCAGTTGCACTAAAATTCAAGGATTTTATGAAACAAGAAAATGAGAAAAGGAAACCAAAAGCTTATAATTCTGACATGGATGACCAAAGCGTTTGTGGTGTTGGCAGAGTGGCGAAATGTTCATTCAGATGACTTACGTACATTGATTAATTATTATCAGATAAGCCTCCTGAATGAAAAGAAAACAATATACTAAGTCATCAATATGTTTTCTGTCTGCTGTTCTAAATTTTTGAAAATCCTACTACAGAACTGATGTAAGCACACTAAAGGAATTTCACGTAGTTACTGTTTACAGAGGTAATGTTACAAAGAAAACAGAAGGGACATATAATGAGCAAATGCTAACAAGAGCATACTTTTGGATATTTCAGTTATGCGGAATTTGTACTGACAGTATAAAGCGTAATGACCTGACGAAAGAGTTTCATCAGCCAAATCTTAGTGTCCATTTCCCTAGGAATTCTTTTGAGTGGTTTTTATTTTTTAATTAGAAATTCTTGCATAAATAAATGGTTAACTTTTACTTTTGCTTGAAAAACTCCGCCTCTTTGACGTAACTGTAGCATTAAGGTCTTTAAGGGTTGATAAGAATAAACCTGAGTCCTTTAAGTGTTCCGAAACACTCGATGAATTAAAACTCCAGAACTTCAATAACCTAATTTTTGAAGGTCACAAATTTCTTAGACTTGTGTGAGTGATGTCAGCTGGCTGCACGTAATCGGAAAGAGGCTCCAAATCTAGGGTTTATATTAGCTAATAGTCATCAGGAAAGCTATATCCTCTCGGAAATTTGAAACCACGTCACCCGACGATGTAATCAGAGGTGTTAATAATTAACTGTTAGGGCCCACAATGGACGGGCTGTAAGAGTTTAATGGATAAACTGATTAGTCACGAACGAGTAGGTAACCAGTGTACTTCTGAAAGCGCCTCATCAATCCACCGAAATCCCTCCTTTCAGATTAATTGAGTTTAGTTCCTTTCATCTTTTGATTTAAACCGATAGATCGGGGTTCGTCAACTAAGCATTTTTCTAATTCTAATATCCACCCTTTTTATAAATTACAACACATTAAGCCACGTTACAATGTGCGTCGGTGGCACAGCGGTTAGGACGCTCGCCGACCATTTACATGGTCTGGGATTCGATCCCCTTTACCTCGCCAAACCAGAAAAAACGTTGGAAAAGAGGACAGGTTGGGCATGAGGCTAGCAACCCTATCCTGTAAGAATAAACGCTGCTACTGAAACTTTAAGCCAATAGCTTGAAGCCCCATGTTCCACTGGGAACGTGAAGGAAAAGAAAGCCACGTTACAAGAAATTTCATTTATCAACTTCTAAATTATGCCTGTGTTCACACCCGAGTCAATGAAAACTACCAACACGTTCAAATACATCATCAGACAAAAACAAAATAAACTCTATATTTTCTATAGTTTGGTTTGTAAGGATTAGTTATGTTTTACGAGTTGATCACGGATTGATATCAGTTAGAGAACAATTGAAAACCAGGGAGTACTGGACAGCTGCTGTTTCATCCTAGTTTGGGAATCATCGGAAGTACGCACCCACTGGGTTTCGAACCCAGGACCTTCCGGTTACAAGGCAAGCTCGTATACCATTCAGCCACTGGGACCCGATTCAATGGCCAGCCCATGAATTCTAACTTCTACCAATTCGTGATTTAGCGCGACCCCAACCATTGTCGTTGGTGGGACATCCATCCACACACGTGACATCTAATTGGACCTCACTGGTCACGACTTCTCACTAGAACTCAGGAAACTCCGACCTGTAGCAAGTCACTAGCGAGCATCAGATTAACTTTCTATAGTTTGGTTTGTAAGGATTAGTTATGTTTTACGAGTTGATCACGGATTGATATCAGTTAGAGAACCATTGAAAACCAGGGAGTACTGGACAGGTCGGAGTTTCCTGAGTTCTAGTGAGAAGTCGTGACCAGTGAGGTCCAATTAGATGTCACGTGTGTGGATGGATGTCCCACCAACGACAATGGTTGGGGTCGCGCTAAATCACGAATTGGTAGA